TTTTCCTTTTCTTCTTCTTGGTACGGCACCCGGCTATTTCACTCCTCGTCTTATACCCATACCATCGTCTCTCTTCCTCTTCACACCAACTCACTATTCCCACATCATCTCGCTGTTAGTGGCGCAGTCTTCAAATCATTCAACTTACAATAACTACCTTATCTTACCTCAACCCATCGTCATTCTTCATCCCGCACTAAACTAACCTCCAACGTTCCAGCCGGAAACCCTTCGCCTCGCGACTGGTATTGGAACGAACGCGAGAGCAACACTTGAAATACCAAGGCCTGACACAAATACTGTACAACGAGGCAAAAGAGGTGTCGGCCATTGCCAACTGTCAATCGCCAGCTGAATTCGCCCTGTTCTGTCCTGGTCCGGTCTGGTCTGGTTCGATTTGTTCTGCTCCATCATCGATCCAACGTCAAAGACACGGAACCGCCCAACCAATAACCTACACTATTACCTAGGTACCCAAAGATTCAACCGGCTACCATCCAATTCAGCTCATCACCCCACGCAATTAAACCAGGTCAACCACACGACAACCTCTTTCTCGTCTCTCGATTCTTGACTTGCAATAACAACCATTCTCCTAATTATCTCGTCTTTCCTCTTGATGATGCGCTGAAGTCATAGCATCTTTCGACCCGACTCGAACTTTCACCGCCACGTTCTCACCCACCCCTGGCTAACGAGTCGACTTTCCCAAGCCATGATCGCGACAACCTTTCGCCATAGCCCGATCATCGCTGTCGATATGGCTTACTCCACCAAAACGACGCCTTCAACCACCACAAGCGTTAGCCCTGGCGTTAACAACGGCGTCGGCACTAACACAAGTGCCATAGCTCCCGAGCTAAACGACTTCGATTACTTCGTCAGTGTTTTACAATTACCGGATGGTAGAACAGAAAACCAGATAGAGGACGACCTTGTGTCCAAAGCCAATGCCCTCGGTATCTCGAGTGCACCCGTTGCTGATAACCGTATCACATCCAGCGTCGAGTCAGCTTCCACAGTCTACAACGCACGAACATTTTCCATGCTTTCCGGTGGTTCAACAAGCACCGCCTTAACCTCACACTCGTCATTATTTGGACCACCTACACCTGACCCAGCACCTTCGAGTGGTCGCCAATCCAAGGATTTAAGCTTTGCCCAATACGATCGATACTTATCTGTTATTGATCCTCACCATAACCATCCAAAGACCACGAGACAATCGTTTGTGCCCGCCAACTCACCTCCCAGTATCTTTAGTGGCAAGACGAAACGTAGTCTGTTCAGTGTCAAATCAGGACTAAACAAATTACGATGGAAGAAAAAGTCTCCCCAACCAATTCAGGCCGTCTTGTGCGTTGAGGCCCAACTTTCGACAGTTTCTATCTTGTAAGATCAGAGCGTGCTGACTATTGTCATAGGACCTGTGTGAGCTGCCGTGCCGATTTCAAAAGCTCAAGATCATTACACAGCATTTCATGCGGCCACACTTATTGTGATAATTGCCTGCGGTCACTCATTCATACAGCCATGTCTGATGAATCCTCCATGCCCCCAAGGTGCTGTGCCCAGCCCCTGCCGGGCTCGGTAATAAGAGATTTGCTCAGCCGTGACGCCCAGCAGGAGTTCCTGAAGGCTATAATCCAGTACAGTACACCTTGGCAGGTGAGGGTATTCTGTTCGAATCCTTCCTGTGGCGAGTTCATACCACCGCGCCAGAAATTGGACCCTAAACATCCGTCGGATGTTACATGCCGCAAATGCAACACGAGAGTTTGCCTCATGTGCAAACATAACGCTCATCCGACAGGGAAGAATTGTCCAGAGGATTGGGAACTTGATCAGGTTATCAAGACTGGGGACAAGCCCGGTTGGAAGCGGTGCTACAAGTGTCGAAACCTTGTTCCACGAGAAACAGAAAGTTTACACATGACCTGCAGATGCAAAGCTCAATTCTGCTATGCTTGCGGTGGCGTGTGGGATACCACTACCGGATGCCCAAACAATTGTGGCCAACAGGAAGAGATGGAACGAAGGAGAAGGGATGAGCGGGCTCAGCTGGCTGAATACACGGAGGAGAAAGCTGTCCAAGAAGCCGCAGCAGCGGCAGCCTCAGCCGAGCGACTTGAAGCTGAGGAGCGAACTCGTAACAAGGAGAACTTCTCTGAGATGGCCAAGATACAGCAGCAAGAAATGGTTCGGTTCCTTGAATTTTTTAAACAAGGTCGAGAGCACATGCGATCCAGATTTATCGAGAAGAGGAAGGCGACCTTGGAACGACACATCGACGAGGAGGAAAAGATGAAGGAAAAGCATGTCAAATCTGTCAGTCAGCTGGAAGATCGACAGGTCGCTGCTGAAATGGACCTTCGAAACACTCTGGAAGCAAGCGCGAGAAGTGTTAACATTCGACTGAAGCATATGGAAGCTTACTGCGATGGGCTAGGGCGCAACAGCGGAAGCTCAAGTCCGGATTCAACAGGTACCCAGCCTCATCGTGTGGTTACAGAACGTGATCTTCGTGAATTGGGTCAGCAGTACAACATTCGCGATGGCTTGGAAAGGTCACATCAGGCTAAGATTAACGTGATGAGAGACCGCCAAGCCAAACGTATGGAGGAGCTCATCAATCGACAAGAGACCGAGTACGAAGATTTCCTCGATCGGAACCGTGAGGAGTTCGACGAGTTGGCGGCACAGGCTGCGCACGAAGAAGAAATGTTGGGCAGCACCTTTTCAGCACGAAAGGCCAAGCTTGTACGTCGATGGGAGCTGGCTATCGAAGTCCTAAGAAAGGAGCTGGAAGCCCAGGATGGCGTCAAATACGCACCTATTCCTACGCCAGTATGGCCCGAAGAGAGAGCACAGACTTTTTTTAACTCCACCAAGTGAAAGCGACTAGGACTGGGACTCTGCTCAACAATATCTTATGCTTGCATCAACGATGCATAGCATTCACTGTTGTACATCTTTCCTTTACGATTCACTTCCATTATACGATTCTTTTTGCCTTATCAGGGTAAGCCCACTACGACTTATTTCTTCCTAATCTGTCGAAGCGTCGAATTTTTTCTTTCACAAACTGTTATGGGAGGTGGACAGTCTCGAACATGTCTCTACCTGTTTTGTCTTTTTTTGTTGTTGGAGTTGTAAACATTTGTTTAAAAGCATCAGCATAGCATTATAGCCACGCGTTTGTTTCGTCTGTTGAAGGAAGGCAGCTATAGGAAACGCGAGCTCATTCCGATATGGCGCTCTATTTTCCAGCAACATACCCAGACATTGGTCTTGATAGAACGGATACCCCTGAAGATATAGAAATATGAGTGGGTGGCGGACCTGGATCAGACACTGCGCTGCCTTCTATTTTGGATGAGTTCCACGAGAGACATGCGGAAGCCTGAATGATTGTGCATAGTTGTATACCCCGGGTTTTAGGTAGCCTTTGAAATGAATATTGAATGAATTGGATCCGCTTGAGGCAACGTGTACTATGATGAACAGCATGTGATTGACTTGAACAAACCGTGCTTGACTCTTCAAGTTCTCTGTTGCTCTTGGCCACTGCACTCTGTGCTTCCACAGGAAATGAGGAGGGCTGGCACTGGCGTTCAACCCAAGTCTCTCGTTACATCTTCCACCTAGATGGTGTACCCTCGAGGCCTCATTATCTAAGTACAAGGGTGGAGTGATCTTTGCCACGGCCCCGGACTCCCCGTTTGGTTTGTTTGTCGGGGCTGATGTTGCATCGTCAGATAAAGTGGCAAACACAACTCGTGTATCGGAGAATACAGCAGCCAGTCCCCTTTCCACTTCCACCTCGGTTCATCACTTGTGGAAGTGTATCAGTCTGTGTGACAAGGGTGGTGTAAGGGCTCAGATCGTCGTACGAACCCTCCTCCCGATGCGGATGGTCGTTGTTTATTTACGGGTGTGGCTCTCTATCGTTTCTCTCGTTTTAGAGATGTGCTTCGGCAATTCGAGTAGACTCTCGATGGCCTTGTGTGCGTCTCCTGTACCAGAATAGAAGATGCCGGGGTTGTATATGAAACACGAAGTTTGGCTAGAGGATTTTCAACACTAATAATAAACTTAGTCTAAGATAGTTTATAAATAGGAGGAGCCACGTTTGAGCAATACCATCTTTACAGTTTCAGACATTCGTATAAGTTTATTTGTAATTAGTCCCTCCTTTCTCAGACGCTATGTGTATGCATATAAATGACCGATCGACCCTCTTGAGCCCTTGAAAAGCCGAAGGTGTGTTGTTGTTACCACTCAGCCACTGTGGTAGATAGCCATGTATGTAGGTAGGTACCTAGGTATGGATGTTGTATCCTTGTATATGAATGTATGTATGCATGTAAGCAGTCAAGGGGCACTGTTTCACTCGCTTCTGCAGATATGGCTGCAAATCGCCGCAGAAAGCAATGCGGCATTGCGCCAGATTGGTTGCCTGCTTGATAGACGAGCTAATGCTGGCGCCCGCAGCCAAAGAAGGGCAATGTTTCAACGGTCAAAGAACCCTGGATGGAACGACGGCACATGCATGCGCACTACCTACGGGTAAGTTAGAGGCTGGCAAACTGGTGATCTGACATTGCCAGTTCAGCTACCAGGTCAGCAGAGGAAAGAGCTGACAGACTGATGCAGCAAAAGGAAACCTCGAGGGAAGCATCCGGTTTGAAAAACTGGTGTCAGCCGTTGTGGCTTACAAAGTTGTTCAACTCGTTGGCACACGTTGCCGACGACTGGGCTAGGGGTACGTAAGTTCTATGGCAATCTAGACACATGTCTTGGCTACTTACCTGCTACTTATCTTGGTGATTTATCTTCCCCAGTAAGAAGTACCTAAGTCTAAGGAACTTTCAGATACCGTCGTATGGAGAACGGGGAAATGATGTTATGCAGAGGCGATGGGTGCTCTTGTTACCGTCGGGTCGAGGGAAACAAAGATCCATTGCCAAGTCAAGATATAAAGTCAAGATATGAAGTCAAGTTTATTGAGTTGCTTAGCTGTTCTGGGAAGTCAATCAAAGCTGACGACATGCCCTGAAGGCGTTCTCAAGAGACCCCTAAAGATACTAAAGAAGTGCCCTGACTGTGGAGGGCTTAGTGTCCTGGTGGCGTCTGCTCCCATGAACCCAACCGTCAGGGTGTCAAAAGAGTTGGCTTGCAGAAATCATAGGAGACGAAATAAGCTGATCACCCTAATCCATTTTGGATTGGTAGCTGAGCTGCTTTATTTTTGACAGCCGAAAGCCTCAGAGGACATCTCTTCTGTTACC